CAATGATTTCATGTCATGCGTTTAAGGCCTCAAGGGAATTGCCATTAAGGAATAATAATGACTTACGTGCATGCTGTGAACTATGCATTCTAAGAAGGTAGTGTCAAGTTTCTATATTTCTTGTTTAACCAGTTAATCTTTATTAGATTTTAGAGAAAAATTTGAAAAACAATTTAGTTTTTGCTAATTTTTTGAGGCTGACCTTCTACTTTATTTTTTAAAATTTACAGCTATTAAAAATAAAATTCTTTACAGACACTTATATGTGAGGTGATTTGCAAATGACCCCTGAGTTATTTTTAAAATAATTACAGAATCTTCTATGGAGGTAGTTAAACCCTTTTCTCTGTCACCTGTGCCGTAACACAGAAAATTTTAAGTATTATTTTATGTTAATTTTTAAAATTTAATTATTTATAAAAATATTTTAATAACATTTTGTACAATTTCAGTAATAAAATAAATATAAGCAAATTTTAAAATTTAATAGTAATAATTGTATATTGTGTAATACTTTCAGAATTTCAAAATAACAAAAATATTTCAAAGCAAATTTTAGAATTTCAAAAGTAAAACTTTTTTGGGTAATATTTTCAGAATTTCGATATCACAAAAATATTTCAAAGCAAATTTTACAATTTCGAAAGTAAAAAATTTTTTTGGTAATATTTGTTGGTAATATAGTCCCGTGAAAGCAATAACAATTGTTATACTTTGCGTAAGTTGAATATTCTTATATATGCATATATATATGTATATATATATATATATATATATATATATATATATATATATATATATATATATATATATATATATATATATATATATATATATATATATATATATATATATATATATATATATTTTGCGATCGCAAATCACTATTGCTTTTCACACCATCTTAATTAGTTTTTTCTTAAGAATATTTGTGTTTTTTTTTTTTTTTTTTTATTTTTTTCTTTTCTAATTTAGCATTTTCTTTTGGCCGTTCTTAAAAGTAATGTTTTTGTCTGAGTTTTTTATTAAGGATCATAAAGTACCTCACGCTAAATTTATCTTTTGAATGATTATTTGCTCTCTTGCGCATAGATTTTTATTCAATATTAAGCGCTCTTGAATTTAAATTACTTTAAATCTCAGCGTGGAAGCCAATAGTATTTTTTTAGTTTGATTTACTGAATAGATAAAGTACATTGCAGTAAGTTTACCTATAACTAAATCAAAACAACCAGTTAAGTTACTCTATTTATATCTTATATGTTGTTTACACATTATATAAACTTCTAACTAAAAATTATTTTTACAAGAAATCTCGAATAGAATATGAAAAACCTTAATACCGTTTTTTTTATTTTATTTAAAGTGATATCAAGATTAAATATTTTCTATAAATACGCAAGTGTTTTTTAGGAATTTTTTTAAAAAAGAAATCAATTTGAACATAAGAATTTTAGTCTTCTAAAATTCTCTTATTAAAATAATTTTGCAATTGAAATTTGAAATAAAAATAATTTAATTGCAGCAGCATAGTTTAATTAGCAGCGGTGTTCGTAATACCCAGTGCCATAGCGAAGATCATTCCTGAAAGTTAAATGTATATATCTAGCTACAGTAACAATTTCAGATTTAGAACATAATGCAACTGAGGAAGAAAATTTTATTTAAATCATAGACATTTTAAATAGTTCGTTATTTTTTGCTTCTTGAAAATAGTTTTAAAAGTAGAAACATTCTATTGCAAACATTAAACTAGTTATTATTGCTAATGTTAAACCAAAGTTTAAATTATAAATAATTAAATTGAAAAAACTAAATTATTTTATTTGTTTTCTAAGAAATTTCTAAAAAATATTTTAAGTAAAAGAATTTTCTAAATAATTAATTACGCATATACAACTATATGTATATACAACTTAAGGAAATGTAATTTGATTTATTAGGCCAAATTTTTTTCTTTCGCTTTTTACTGCAAAACAATTTGAATGAAAAAATTAATTATACCTAAATTTTTTATAGTATGCTAGATCAAGAAATAAATTATAATTCTATTTTTTTTTGCTTTGATCTTACTCGTTTGGTCTATAGGTTGTCTCGTATGGTCTATAGGCATTTTTTTTTTTTTTTTGTGCAAATATGAAGTTTAAAATTTCATGACAATAAGTTTAAAATAAGTTTATAAAGTTTAAAATTTTATGACGATAATTTTAAAATAAGTTTATAAAGTTTAAAATTTTACGATGTTTTAATTTATTAATTAGAACAACTTTATTTACATTGTTTTATTTTAAACGCGTTTTATGTTATTAATGTTATAAACTGTATAAAACACCAATAAAACAGCGTCACGAATAGGGTTCAGACTATTGTAATTGTAATTGTAAAAATTAAATACAATAACAATTAAAATACAATAATATTGTATTGTAATACCAGAGATGTAATTAAAACATTATTTGTATTGCTGTGAATAAAAACAGTTACAATAACTATGGTATTT